CACGGCGGCGGCCGTGGCGAAGGCGAGAGCCGCCTCTTCGTCGTCGACGTCGCCGTCGCAGTCGTCGTCGACGTCGTCGCCGCCGCCGTCGTCGTCGACGCTGTCGCCGCAGTCGTCGTCGTCGTCGCCGCAGTCTTCGTCGTCGCCGCTATCGCCGTCGTCGTCGTCGTCGTCGTCGCCGTCGTCGTCGCCGTCGTCGTCGCCCTCTCTAGAGGCGCTGATGCCGCACGTGAAGGCCGATGCGTCGTTCTTCCTCTACCCGCAAGGCCAGCGGAAGAGCAAGCCCGACCACGTGGTGTTGATGAAGGAGGGGCGGGGAGGGGAGGGTTAGCGAAAGGACTTGATTGAAGAGGGAGTGGAGGAGCAGGAGGAGGAGGAGGTGGAGGAGGAGGAGAATGAGGTGGAGAGACAAGCGACGAGGGAGAGCGGGAGAAGGAGCGGTGGAGCGGGGGAGCACGACATGGGGATGGGCAGCACAAGAACATGATGATAGAGCTGATGACGACCGTGGACGAGTCGCGTCTACTCAAGAGCACGGTGGCCACAGCGCTGCGGCTCGTCCACGACATGAAGGCATTCAATATGCAAGAGAAGGCGCGGGGATTGGGGGCAGGAGGGTGGAGGAGGAGGAGGATGAGGGAGGAGGAGGGAGGAGGGTAGAGGAGGATAGAGAGGACGATGAGGAGGGTGGAGGAGGATAGAGAGGATGATGAGGAGGAGGATGAGGGAGAAGGAGGAGGAGGAGGAGGAGGAGGAGGAGGAGGGAGGAAAGAGAAGGGAGGAAAATATGTCACTCCTTCCGCTCCCTCACCCCCTCCGTGCTCCTGTCCTCCCGCTCCTCGCCTCTCCGTGCTCGCCCATCCGTGCTCCTCTCCCCCATCGGGCCCTGGGAGGCGCGCGAGAAGTGGATCAAGATCTATTCAAAGCGGCTGCGCACGGCGGTGGTGCACGTCCGCGATGCAGGACGGGCGGGGTCGGCGTCGCCGCCGACGACGTGAGAGGGGGAGGGAAAGGACGACGAGGACGGTGAGGAGGAGGTGGAAAGGGAGGGGGATATGGGAGGGAGGAGGATGGGAGGGAAGGGAAATAACCATCAGGAACAGGAAAGGAGGGAGGAGGGTGCGAGGGCATGTGCGATGAGCGCCCCAATGAACCCCCAATGAACTCCCAATGAACCCCAATGAGCTCCCCGTGAACCTCACCGGGACACGGGGGACCGACCGGAATATTACGGGGTAGGGCGAGCCTCGCGCGCTGGGGGGCGTTGCTGGGGCCATGGGTAGGGGAGGACGAAAGCAGCTCCAGTGGGTGAACAAGCTGCTGGCGACCGTCGAGGACGAGGAGGAAGACGAGCCAGAGGACGAGGACGGGGCGGCAGAGGGAGGCGAGCAAACTGGCGATGCAGAGGAAGGAGACGAACCCGAGGATGATGATGGCAGTGCAGCACGAAAGCGGCCAGCAGCGGCAGCCTGGGATGACGATAGCGACGAGGAGCCTGTTTCGAAGAAGCCAGCAATGAGTCCAGTTACAATTGGAAAGCCTGCAATGAAAGTGAGAATGACTTTGAAGAGGCCAGCAGCTGAGAGCACTGATGCAGCGTCGGATGAGGGCAGCACCACGGGCACCACGGAGGAGAAAAACATCACTCACATCACAATTAACGAGAAGAAGTCGCCGAAAGCCGTCAAAGCAGGAGTACCACAGAGCCCATCGAAAGTTGCCGCCGCGACTCCGCCTGCGACCATCCAGCCCAAAGCAAGCATCAGCAACGCCATCCCCATTGGCTTCATGGAGAGGCGCTACTCGATGCCGCCAGTGCCGCCGCCAGAGACCGAGAAACCAAAAGCGATGCCACCAGTGCCAGAGATCGAGAAACCAAAAGCGGTGCCGACGAAAGAAGGGTGCTCACATGTGCCAGAGACTGAGAAACCAAAAGCGGCGCCTAAACCATCGGAGACGCCGAAAGCGAAGATGCCGACACCACCGACAGCGACGGAGAACCCCGAAGACGTGCCCACGCCGAAACCGAAGATGCCGACACCGACGCCCACGGCAGGCGAGGTCATAACGGACGAAAGCATCCACAAGGTCGGCTTCGACAACCAGAGGAAACAAGCGAGCCTCAGAGTAAAAGCTGGCAGGAAAAAGTTCGGCCCGCCAGAGTATTCGGATACCTGGGTACCTAGGGCAGATTCGGACGAGATGTGGGCCACGTTCAGCACGGGCACTTTCAAGATAGAGCAGCTGAAGGCTAGCGACTTACCAGAGCTGATGAAGGAGGGGCCTGGGGGGGGGGGGGGCAGGGGCAGCGGACGCATGCGGCAGCAGGTTTGCCCGCGCATCAATCGAGAAGAGTGGGGATCGCAGGGGGGATAGAGGGAGGGAGGGAGATACAGGGAAGGGTTAAGAACGAGGGGGAGGGTGGAAGGCAGGGATGGGCAAGCAGGAGCGGGCGGGGAGAGGCGAGATATATCGGAGGGATGGTCGACGGGACGGGGCGCGAGTGCGAGCAGGCGAGAGAGGCGCGCATAGGGCGGGGCAGGCGAAAGCTGAGATCGCAACGGCCACGAAGGGCAAGGCCATATGGACGGGGTTCGGGCCCGACGGGAAGACCATCACTGCGGTGCCGCTCAAGCAGAAGGACCGATTCGCCGCAGCCCGCGGGCCGCTCTCTGGTTCATTCGAGGTCGTTGGCAGTTCGTTCGGGTTTCATTGGAAACGTCATCTCTCGTCGCCGTCTCCGTCGCCCGACGCACGCGCGCCAGATTGGTCGGCCTGCCCCTCCCCCTCCCCATTCCCGTGATCCCGTCTCTCACCCTCCCCTTGCGTGCGTCCTCCCTTCCCCCAATCGCGCTCGCCGCTCCCGCGGCCGCGCTCCGATCGCGCAGGACCGCCCCGACATCGTGGTGCTGAAGGAGGCGGGCGGCCAGGTGTGCCAGGTCGCGGTGAGGGGCGAGATGACCTCGGAGAAGGCGCAGGAGATTATGCTGAACATTGCTGAGCGATACGGCAAAGGCGGGGCGGGCGGGCGAGATCGTTGGAGGGCCCCCCCACGTCGTCGTCGTCGTCGTCGTCGTCGTCGTCGTCGTCGTCGTCGTCGTCGTCGTCGTCGTCGTCGTCGTCGCCCCCTCGCCCCCTCGTCCCCGCGTCGTCGTCGTCGCCGTCGTCGCATCCGCCGTTGTCGTCGTCGTGGCAGGCTTGATCAAGAAGGATGGCCTTTACAGCGAGCGCGACATCCTCGTGGAGGCCGCACGGGCCATGTCTGCTTGAGGTGGCCACGACAGGGCGCCCACGAGGTCGGGAAGTTATTCGCGCTTCGCGCTTCACGGTCCTCACTCCTTTCCCACCCTTCGCCATCCCACCCGCCCCCCTTCGCCATCCCACCCTTCGCCATCCCACCCTTTCCCACCCTTCAGCTGCTGTAGCCCCCCTTCGCTATCCCACCCGCCCCCCGCTGGAGTCGGGCCTTTTCGGCTAGAGGCACGGTAATTGTACGTCGTCGGGGCTGCAGCAGAGGGGCAAAAGACCTTTCGGGGGCGGCGCGAGAGCGAGAAGTTAGTCGCGCTTCGCGCTTCGCGGAGCGCAAAGACGAAGTTAGGAGCCCTTAGTCTGACTACCAATTGCCAGACCACTGAGCAGGTATAAGGTCTCACGCTCGGCAGACGTGCTGGGTACCTGCAGGTGGGTCCATAGCACGTGGTGTCGGGAGGCCCGACTTGTCCGCTGGGGACTCGGCAACCTCTGTAGCCACCGTGCGTCGGGCGCTCCTGCTGAGGTCAGGATGCTGCTGCCGAGCGGGTTGAGTGGCATAGTCCCTGCGGTCTGGCGTGCGGATTTCAGATTATCTCGACGTCCTGCTGAATCACCTGTGGTTCGGCCCCTTTGTCGCCGAGGATTGCCGCCAGGGCTTCTTTTACCTTTTCGGCTCGCTGCGCCACGTGCGGAAGCCGTTCCTTGTGGTGGCGCTGAGAGCCTTCTTGGAGCCGTTCCACGTCGTGGCGGGCTACGTGCCTGCCGCTGGCCCCACGGGCCGCCGCGCCGCCCGTGGATCCGCTCGCTCGCTCCTGCTAAATGCTTGCTCCTCCTCCCCATCCTCCTCCCTCGCTGCGCCTCTCCTGAGGCGTTCTTCCAGGTGGGGCTCCTTGGCCCACCCTGGCGAGCCACCCTGCAGGGAGAATACCCGTGCGCCGCTGCAGGGATAGGTCTTACGGCCTGGCTCGCTGAGGGGGCGGGCATCACTCGGTACCCTTGGAGGCCCGCAGTGCTCGCTTTGGGGGTGGCGTGCCTCTGGTTCTTCTTGGGAGGGTACCCGATCCTGGAGCCTTCGTAGACCCTAGGTGCTGGCCTGGTCCTGGTCAGGTGTCGCTCGTAGGCAGAGATGCTGGAGGCAGGCAGTCGCTCTCCTCTCAGGCTTGCTCTTGCTCCTCCTCCTCCTCTTCCTCCGCCTCCTCCTCCTCCTCTTCCTCCTCCTGCCTCCCCCCTGCCTTGTGCCCAGGGGACCTCGCTTTCCTGGGTCCCTGTGTGTGTGAGTGTGCGTGTGTGTGTGTGAGTGTGGGTAGCGTTCCCCGCTGAGTAAATTGCGAGGCAATCTCACGGTTTCGGACATGGTCCCGTAGGGGGTGCACGGTGGCCGCCCAAGGGTTGGGGCGAGAACCGCATTGTGGAAACATCATGCCCTCCGTCCTTCTAGCTGCACAAAGTTTTCGGTGCTAAGGCGAGATCCACCAGCTGTCCGGGGCGCCCTCTGAGAGCCCAGACAGGTTTAGGCAACTCATCTGGGGTGATTGGGAGCTCATTGGGGTTTCATTGGACACCTCATTGCGCACGGCGTGCACTGGGGTCGCCCAATCCACTTAGGTCTTCCGTCAGGAGAAGGGGGAGGCTGAGGTCCTCCATCTCCCCCTCGCTCGGTGTTCTTCGAAATTCGGGCTCGAGGAACCACTTGAGAGACTCAGCGCGGGTGCGCTGCAGACCCCCCAAGTTGCGGCGCCTGCGGTGCCATGGAAGACGCGAGCGATCGGTACGCCCCGTTCTCGGGGCCTAGCCGCAGCTTGCGGGAGGAGGACTTCAAACCGTTCTCTGGGGCTTATCACAAGTTGGGGAAGCAGGACCAGATTCTGTCGCCGTTGAAGGGCCCCAGCAGTGCCGAGAAGTTCCAGAGCGGGGACTATGTCGACGCCTTCCTATTCGACAACCCCGAGGCCCTCGCCCGTCTGATCGCGCAGAGCGAGGGCCGCGACTCGGCTGGCGCGAGCGGCTCGGCTGGCGCGAGCGGCTCGGCTGGCGCGAGCGGCCCGGCGGGGCTCATTGAGCTCGACACCGACGACGACGACGCCGCGCCTGCGCCTGCGCCCACTCGCGCGCCCGAGTTGCCCGTCCTCTCGCACGATATGGCCGCGCAGAGGCGCGATACTCCCACCCAGAGAGAGGACTGTTACGCAAACGCAAATGTCCCTCTGAGCCCCCGCCTTCGTTTCAGTTTTCTCGACCGCTCTCTCGCCCCCTCATCATTCGTAGTACCCTGCCTCGGTCCGAGTCTCGGTGGTGACCGCCCTTCCCCATGATCCCTCCCTGGCCCTCCTATTGCCCCCTCGCTCCTCTGCCGCCCATCTGAGGATGGCCCCTATACTTGGGACTGCATCTTCTGCGGGAACACGAACATGATGGCCCTGAATAAGTGCCAGATGTGCGACGAGGATCTCTTCGACAAATCGGGATGGGAGGAGTGCAGGGAGAGAGCGGGGGAGGAGGAAAGGATGGGGGGAGAAAGGCCTTGCCATCCTCGCTCTCCTGCCTCCCTTTACCCTTCGCCCCATCTCCCTCCTCGTACACCTTGAGCCTCCTCACCTTTCAGCCCGATCCCTTTCTTTTCCAGGCAGCTGTCCATGACACTCTCTGAGAGCCAGGTTTAGGCAGCTCATCTGGGGCCATTGGAAGCTCATTGGGGTTTCATTGGACACCTCATTGTGCACGGCTTGTATTGAGGTCGTATTCAGTCCCAGTCCCTAGTCCGCATCCCCGCCCTCCGCCGCCAGGAGCGGGAGCTGTCCACGGAGGACTCGAGCGCGGTGCCTGAGATGATCGAGCGCGAACTGCGGGCTCAGCGCATGGACTGGCTGGACAGGACTGTCGGGGGCGAGATTAGGCTGCAGGGCATCGCTTGCGCCCAAGTTCCCATCGCGAACGAGGAGAGGGCCCGCCACGCCCGCCAGGACGAGGACGGCCTCTTTCAGGCCATGGAGGTCGACGAGGACGGCCGCCGCTACGGGCCAGACGGCCGGGCCATGGAGGGCCAGGTGGACGAGGTCGCCGCCGGCCAGGCCGAGGAGGCCCAGATGGACGAGGGCGCCGCCAGCCAGGCCATGGAGGGCGAGGTGGACGAGGTCGCTGCCAGCCAGGCCATGGACGAGGTCGCCGCCAGCCAGGCCATGGACGAGGGCGCCGCCAGCCAGGCCATGGAGGGCGAGGTGGGCGAGGTCGCCGCCAGCCAGGCCATGGAGGGCCAGGTGGGCATGGGCGGCGAGGACGCTGACGCAGAGCTGAGGAGCCCGACAGCGTCGGCGTCGGAGAACGAGGTCGAGGCCACGGTCCCTGCTGGCGACGAGGAGGTGCAATTGGCCAGGGACATGGAGCGCCCCGCGACGGGGGCGGCTGAGGAGCTCATGACGGGGACTTCTATGGGCGGAGGGTTGCAGTCCCTGCAGTCACGCTTGGAGCGTCGCGGCATGCTCGGCTTGGGGGCCAGGTCTAAGGCCATGGCGAGGCCGCCGCAACAGCAGCCCGAGATCAACGCTGGCGAGTTTGTGCCGCACCAGGTCCAGGAGGATGGGGCTACCGCGGGCGCACCGCCAGCCCCGTTGGCTGAGGACGCGCCGCCAGGCCCGTCAGCTGCGGCGGCGACGCGCGCCCAGTCAGTCAAGCCGACATCGGCACCAGCGAACGTCATGGACGAGAAGATCCGAGTCCAGGTGGAGGCGGCGAGGAAGCTGCTCGCGTCCAGCGTGCAGTGCCAGATGAAGATGAGCGAATGGAGCAGCCGCTGCGGTGGGGCCGTCATCAAGACGCTCCTTGAGCAGCAGTTCAAGGGGCAGCAGGAGGACATGCTCAGTGCCCAGGCGATCCTGAACCTTCTCGACGCGGTGGCACAAAAGGAGGACGGATCCCTTCTCGACGCGGAGAGCTTGGCAGAAGATGTCGCCCGTCCCCCCCGCGAGGGCAAGGCGGCAGTGGGCGGGCTCCCGCCGCTCCCGAGGGGAGACTCAGAGCTCGTCCTCGCGCCAGGGACCGCGAAGAGCTTGGAGTCGAGTCTCAACGAGATCGCGGTGAAGCGCACCCTGTCCGAGGCGCAGGGCAACATAAAGAACGTCCCCGCTGAGATCTTGGCCCAGATCGAGCAGCTGCAGAATGGGATTAAGGACGGCATCAAGGCGAGGAGCAACGTCTACCAGCAGTTTGGCAGGTGGCTGGCGCAGAAGATCAAGCAGGATCCGAAGTTCGCTGAGGACTGGGATGCGAAGGCAGCAGACGACCGCCGCGACTACAGGACCGAGTGGGCTCAGAGGAAGCTGACGGAGCTCAAGCGCAAGTACATCCACAAGCGCGCGTACAAGATGGTGGACGAGAGCGTCGGGACCTACTTCTCGTTCTCCCGCATCGTCGTGGACCGAGGGGGAGGAGGAGGAGGGGGAGGAGGAGGAGGAATAGTAGGAGGGAGAGGAGGGGAGGACTGGGGAGGAGGAGGAGGAGGAGGAGGAGGAGGAGGAGGAGGAGGAGGACGACGACGATGCCGCCAGGAGGAGGGCGGTCACCACGACGAGGAGAACGCGATCGCCGCGCGGCGGTACTGCGAGGCGTGCATCGCCATGGGCGGCGAGTGGCTGACGTACTGCTCGCTCACGCAGCGCGTGAAGTTCTTCTACGTCTCGCTCCAGCGCCGCGAGGTGATGGAGAGGAGCTGGTCCGAGCACATCGAGAACGAGGATAAAGGCGATGAGGGCGCCGAGCCCGCCGCGGCGGCTTCCGACGCAGCCTCCAGCGCCGCGGCTGCTGCGCCAGCTGCTGGCGCAGCCATCCGCCCCCAGCTCCCCGAGGATCAGGCCGCTGCCGCGACGAAGAGGGAGGCCCCTGAAGAGGGTGGGGCCGAGCAGCCCAACGCCAAGAGGGGGCGGCGGGGGAGGGCCGTCACTGACGGTGCCGACTCCCACGCGGAGATCACGCCAGAGCAGGCCGCCGCGAAGGAGGCCAAGAAGAAGGTGGCGACGGCTGAGCAGGCCGCCAAGAAGATGCTGTCGCAGTTCCAGCAGCTCACGCAGTCGGTGGACACCATCAAGCACTGCATGGCTGCGATGCCCGAGTGGAAGTGGCTCAAGGACCACAAGAAGAACATGGACGACCTCGGTGCCGTGGAGAAGGCCGTTGCCGACAGCCGCACGGACCTCTTCAACCGCATGATGAGCGAGGAGATGAAGATGATCAAGAAGGACTACGCCGACGCCGACATTGTCAGGGACTTCAATCAGATCGTGACGAAGACCGCAGGGGTGGCATTGTGGGGCAGCATGCTGTGTTTGAGTGTGTGTGCGTGTTGTCATGCTGTAATGGGTCCGTGGCTGCAGTGGTGTAGCGTGCGCAACAAAGATTGGCCTCCTCCTCCTCCTCCTCCTCCTCCTCCTCCTCCTCCTCCTCCCCCCTCCTGCTGCACCGTTCCTCATCCTCCAGCTCGCGCCCTCCCTCTTCTCCACTACCTCGCCCCGCTGAGACAGGGAGAGAGGGAGAGATGAAGAGAGATAGAGAGAGATTGGGGGCAGGATGATGAAGACGCCCATCGCCAATCTGAAGTCCTGGCACACGAAAGTGATGCAGAACCACGCGCTGGAGAAGAAGCACGCTACTCAGGTCTAAGCGTCTCTCTGTGGGGAAGGGCGCGAGGGGGCAGCGCGGCGCGGGTTCAGGCTGCAGGGTTAGCAGCAGCTGCGGGCAAGGCCAGAACGCGCTGAGCAATGAGGGATCGGTTGGATAGCCCCCATCCTCCTCGCCCTCCTCCTCCTTCTGCTCTTCTCCCCCTCCTATTCCTCCTTTTCCTCCTCCTCGGGCCCATTCACCTCGTGCTTCTCCCGCTCCTCCCCTCCGACCTCCTCCCGCTTGGGGCATCAGGCCCGCCAGGTCCTGCGGGGCCATTTCCGTGGGCTCCCTCATCGATTTTTGCGATTTCCCGAGGGGGAGCACCCGATGAGTCACCCGATGAGCGCCCCCCCGATGAGCTACCCGATGAGCCTCACCAAACCCTGTGTTTTCACAGCTAAAGTGCACCTCATCGCGCCCGGTCAGCGCCCCGATGACCCGATGAGTCACCCGATGAGCCCCGATGAGCCCCCAGGACCGCCCCCCGATGAGCCCCCCGGGGGCTCCGCAGCTCAGAAATTCAACTGGGGTCGCCTCAGAGGAGGCGATGGGCCCTCACAGGTGAAGATAGCTCAGCGATTCTGGCATGCCACCCCTTCTTTGCCCCGCCCGCTGCCGCTGGCCAACGCGAGCCCGTCGTTGCATCGAGAGCGCTCCTGCTGAGAAGGGCCGAGGTGGGAATGCGGAAGGCGATGGGAGAGGGGGGGAGTTGAGCCCGCGCGCAAGCAGGAACATGGGGGCTCTCAGCGCACGGCGGCAGTTTAAATCGTGGGCGGCAGCGGGTTCTTTTGATTCCAGCCCGATTGGGCTGGCACGAGGCACCTGGAAACGAGATGGGCGCGGCGACGCTGTGCTCGACAGAAACAGCTAGCGACCCCCACCTTTTGCTCGCGCTCGGAGGCGAGAATGCATTGGGGGAGAAGGAGGGAGGAGGGGATGAGGAGGGATCATGTGGTGATGAGGATGAGGATGCTGAATACGAGCGAGGGCGGATATGAGTATGATGAAGATGGATGAGACGAGATAATGATGCATGAGTGTGATGGCAGATGACATGATCGCTCGTATGAAGCACCGATCCTGGTAAGATGCGGCATTAACGCTGGCGCCCCACATGAATAGCAGCGCCTGCCATCGCCGTCCAGCGAGATCTTTGGCCCGAGACCGATCGCATTCCCATCCGCGCTCATGGAGCCTGGCCATGTACCTCCGCCACCCCCTCGGCATCCAGAGACCCGAGGCCGCAAACGGAAAGGTCCTGCGGAGCCATCGCCGCGCCCTTGGGACGAGGAGACCGATAGCGAGTGCGATTCCGATGAGCCTCGCGACCCAGAAGCTGGGATGTCGTTCGTCAACGAACTGATCGAAATGTACCTCCTTGGGAAGCCAATGAATGCTCGTCACATGAGCGTCCTCTGCCATTACGCCTGGAAAGGCGGCCTGCTAGAAGCAAAGCCATATGCGGTCAACCCAGAGTCCAAAGGTCGCAACCACCAGCGTAAAATAGATAAAGCATTGAATCTGGAGCGCTTTGACGCCAGGCTGTATAATGTGGATGCTCCAGGGCATGACCGCAATGATCCTGAGATAACGTCGTTGTCATTCCACGTCACACCGCCGCACGAAGCACTTGCGGCCGAGCTTGAAGCGCATCCCGAGATTTTGGAGCAGTGGCAGTCAAAGCTTGCCACGGAACCCTGGATTAAGGAGTGGGAGGAACACGGTCTCGTCAGGGGGGCCTCAGCCGATGACAAACGCACAATTCTACCCATCGCCCTTTACATGGACAAGGTTGCTTTCAACAAAAAGGACAGCTTCTTGGGGATGTTTGTGCATTTACTTCCGACGGGTAGGAGGCACATGATTGCGTGCCTGAGAACGTCAGATCTCTGCAACTGTGGGTGCAGCCATTGGTGCTCCGTGTACCCAATATATCAATTTATATACTGGTCATTGAAATGTCTTGCTGATGGTACTTATCCAGAGACCCGCCATGATAAAGAACCTTGGCGTGAAAATGATCAAGAGCGAGCTGCCCTGGCGGGGAAGGCTTGCGGGGTCGGGAAGCGGGGTTCAGAGTGGTCGTTTCTATTGAATTCTCGCATGTGACACGCCCACTGATGAGACGATGATTGTGGATGACGGTGCAGGTGATGACGGCGAGGAGGAGGAAGAGGAGGAGGGGGAGGAGGAGGCGGACGGAGGAAGGACCTATCCCGCCCCTTCCTATCCCCCTGGCCGCGCGCCCTCCCCACCCCTTCCAGCCTGCCCCCTCGACCTTATCCCCCATGCGCCCCCCCGATCCTCTTTCTGTTTCCCCGACAATTACGTACGATAGAAACGATCGCTCTGTAGTGGCGGGGCACTTGCGCATCACATGAGCTTGCCATTGCATCGTTGCGCAGATGAGCATCGCAAGATCGAGAGCGGCTGAACGGCACGAGCGCTGTCTTGCATCGCAGCTGGGCGGAGGTCAGACGGACAGCTGATCGAACGAGGATGAGGGGAATGGGAGGGGTGAGGACGGGGCGGAGGAGGATGGAGGAGGACACTGATGAGGACGAGGACGACGAGGAGACGGAACGCGGGGCGCTTGTATAAACGACCAATCCCCAAATGACCACCCCAATGAACACCCAATGAACTCACAATGAGTTTCGATGAGCTGTCCGGCAAGACGGGCGAGGGGCAGCGGGACGGACACATGCGGGGGGGGCATGAGAACATGGCAAGGAGGAGGCGGGTTGCATTGGGAAGCAGCATGCACGGGGGTATGCGTAAAAGCAAGCAGTTCACCAGGGAGGCCTTGGGTTTCAAAGCAGTCGTGGTGGACTTCAAGGCAGACTGGCCAGAGATGAGCACTGGCATGGGATTCCCTGCGCACAACCATGGCCGCGCACCCTGTTTAATGTGCAGGCAGTCGGCAGAGCAAATCCATACACATGATATCCGACAGCCGATGGGGCCCAACCCTGAAGACACCGAGGAATCCTACGATGCGGAGTGCTCAAAGCATGAAATATATGTTGTAATCGAAAACATTGAGCAGCTCCGAAAAGTTCGTTTCAGGCTTCAACGTAAACATTCCGATCGGGGACGTTCCTTGACGGTCCCGCTCGCGCTCCCAAACCAAACGCCGCTTTTGAAGGGCGACAGGCTCGAACCGACACCAAGCATGCTAGATGCAAACATGCTCGATCATATAACAAAGTTCCCAGCACTTGTCAAGTTCTGGCGGCCTTCCAAAGACGAGCGTACTTACCACAAGAACCCGCTCCTGGATCCTTTGATCGGAACAGGAATACATAGTTTTAGCATCGACGAGCTACATTGTATGCACCTCGGGGTTTTTCAGGCATGGAGTGCGCACGTATTATGGTTGCTGATCACTTGTAACGTTCTCAAAGTAAATGCAGCTTTGCAAGACGACAGAGTGCGGTTGAGCTTACAATTCTTTCGTGTAGAGCTAGACAAGTGGTACGACGACCAGAAGAGAGCACGCCCTACCAAAGACATCACAAGAATAGGGGACCTAACGCCTGGGATGATCGGGACAAAGGCCGCGCCATCACTTTCACTGAAGGCGCAGGAATCAAAATGGTTCACATACTTCATGGTAGATACGCTCGACAAGTATAATGATAAGATCCCCGATGGCAACCATAAAGAAATTTTACTTGCTGCTGGCAGAGCTCTGGTTACGTTCAGCGATACCCTGGATTCGGAGCCAAGACACATTCCAGTGAATACATGCAAGAAGCTCCAAGACCTAGCCGACCTCCACGTGGGTCTTTGCGAACAAGCGGGCGTCAACATGTACCCCAAGCACCACATGTTTCGACATCTTGCTGCCCAGATCCGTAGGAAAGGAAACCCGCGGTACTACAACACATACTGGGACGAATCGGTCAACGGAGTCGTCGCAGACCTTGCGAATACAACCCACAGGGCAAGATTCGAGCGCATGACGTTCAGGAAATATGGCTATTTGAAGTCTGAAGGACCCCCTGGGACACCAGCAATTAGGGCAGGCAGCAGGCAAGCACGGTGTAAGGGCGCGCAGGAGGAGGGGGAGGAGGAGGGGGAGGAGGAGGAGGCGGAGGAGAAAGAGGAGCGGAGGATGAGGAATGGAAGGAGGTAGATGAGGAGGATACCAGAGGAGCGAGAAACGCCATCGATCGCCGCCGCAGCCCAGTTGCCCAGGGCTAGCGGGGCGGTCGGGCCAGCTCGCCCCGCGCGCGGCCGAGTGGACCGAAGTTTCTCTTTTCATCCGCTCCCCACCGTTTCTGTGGGGGTGGGCCGAGAGCTCTCCTTCTCTTGCTCCTCCCTCTCCTTCTTCTCCTCCCCCTACCCCTCCTCGCCTCCCCTCTCTCGCCCTCCCCCTCCTCGCCCTCCAACCCCATTCGCATTCCCTCCTCTTCCCCCCATCCACAGGGGGAACTGAGGCGTTTCTGACTCCTTGCCATTTGGTTGCATCCATCTTCTTCGATCTGGGGCGGACCCTAGCTCGAATATAGATGCAGCCAGGGGGGGCGCGAGGGCGAGTCGGGAGGGCCGCCCCCGACAGGACGCAAAGCTCAGACGGGCAAAGATACGGTGACGGCTTCTAAAGGATGGTGATGATGTTCCAGCAAGGCGGCCACTTGGGCATCCCAGAGACCACCCAGAAGCTGGCCGCTGAGCTCCTGAAGCAGGGCGAGTTTGACCTGAGCCCTGCCGAGTGGGTGACCGTCGCCGCGCGTGTCGTGAACGAGCACATGGCCCACGTGCCTGTTCGCGACCTCGACCTCCTTGAGGCCCTCCTCCTACTCCTCCTACTCCTCCTCCTCCTCCGTTTCCTCCTCTTCCTCTTCTCCTCGCCACCCCATCATTGTCCTTCTGCTCCTCCTTCACCTCCTCCTCATGCTCCTGCTGCTGCCCCTCCTCCCCCCCCTCCCCCTTGCCTCCTCGCCCTCCTCCTCCTCCGCCCGCCAGGTCTGCAGCGGTTGCGGGAACGAGGCGAAGGCGTTCCGGGAGCACGGCTGCGAGACGCGGGAGTTCGACCGCGAGAGCAGGGATGCCACGGAGGAGCGGACCCCAGGCGATGAGCGGCCCAATGAGCCCCAATGAACCCTCAATGGATGCCACGGAGGAGCGGACCCCAGGCGATGAGCGGCCCAATGAGTCGCCAATGAACCCCCAATGAGCCCCAATGAGCTCATTGGAGCTCATTGGGAGTTCATTGGCGACTCATTGGGCCGCTCATCGCCTGCCCCCTCCCGTGCCGCCCTCCAGCCGCCGCCCCGCCGTCCCCTCCAGCCGCCGCCCCCGCCGTCCGGCCGTCCCGCCGTCCCCCTCCCGTGCCGCCTCCCGCCGCCCGTGTCGCCTCATCGCTTGCCCCCTCCCGCCGTCCCTTCCCCCCGTGATCCCTCCACCCTTCCCTTCGGGACTCCTCCCTCCCTCGATCTCTCCATCCCTCGCTCCTCCCTTCATCCTCACTCCTTGAGGGCCCTCTGAGCCCTCAGGATCTGACGTCTCTTGCTGGCATGATCCACGTGGGATTGCTGGCCCTTCGGATCAAGCCGAAGGGGTTGATCACAATCGCGCTGGAGTGCTCGACATGGCTCGGTTTCACCAGCAACCACACGCACGGCCGCACCAACGACAACATATATGGCCATGAGGAAATGAACAAAGTGAAAGAGGCCAATATGTGCGCAGACGTGGCCGCGTGGCTCATCTTCTTGTGTCACGCTAGGGATGTGTTCTACGTTCTAGAGAAGCCCGTGCAAAGTAGATTGTACTCGTACCCTGCGATCGAGTCTTCGTTGGACATCTGCGGCGCGAGCCAGGCGCTCACGTATTTGGGAGCTTTTACGGACGACCAGACAATCCCCAAGGCTGTGCACCTGGCGACCAGTTTGCCGAAACACACCTGGGCCCACTTCACGAGGCCCAAACCCAAGAAGGAGCTGAGCACGGATCAGAAGAGCAAGTTCCATTTCGTCACAAAGGAGGGCTGGGTGTGCTCGGGCAATCAGTTGAAGAGCACGCAGTACTACCCGCCCGCCTACTGCCACGCGCTGCACGCCGCTTGGGAGGAGGCCTGCCTTGGCGAGAAACAGGGGCCCAAGAGAGCCATCGAGCGAGATCAGACGAGCCTGCTGAGGTGGACGCAGAAGGATAGCTCCAGGACGAAGAGACGCAGGTGTACTCTGGGTACTGGGGATGGCCCACCCTCCTCCTTATCCACCCTTCTCCTTGCCCTCGTCCTCGTCCGCGTAGTCGTCGTCGTCCTCCTCCTCCTCCTCCTCCTCTTCATCCTCCTCCTCGTTCTTATCCTCGCCTCCTATCCCCATCATCCTCTTCCCCCTCCTGCTAGGTCACCTTATCATCGCCTCCTCCTCCTCCTGATCCTCGTCCTCGTGCTCCTTCTCCTCCTCATCCTCGCCTCTTCCACCTCCTCCCTCCTCCTCGTCCTCATCCTCGCCTCTTCCACCTCCTTCCAACTCCTCGTCCGCGTCGTCGTCGTCGTCCTCCTCCTCATCCTCATCCTTGTTCTCATGATCGCATCCCCTCCCCATCATCCTCTTCCCCCTCCTGCTCATCACCCATATCCTTGCCTCCTCCTCCTCCTCCTCCTCCTCCAACTCTTCCTCCTCCTGACCCTCGTCCTCGCACTCCTTCTCCTCCTCATCCTCGCCTCTTCCACCTCCTCCTCCACCTCCCCCGTCTACCCCGTAGCCGCAAGAAAACACGTAACGAAGGGAGGTGATGCGGTACCGCGTCAGCGAATTCATCGTGATCCTGCTACAGGCGCGGGCCACTAGGCGGGGCAGGGAGGGTATTGGACGCAGATTGCTTGCTTCGTACATCGCGAAGGGCACCGCTCATTGGGGGTCATTGGGGGTTCATTGGGACCTCATTTGGCAACTCATTGCTACTCCGTGCTCTCCATGTCCCCTCCTCCCTCCGACTCCTGTCTCCTCCACTCAGCTCTTCATTCATCCCCCCAGCAGTTCAACTTCCGACCATGGACAGGGAGCGCGGGGAGGGCGGGGGGGCATGGGAGAGGGGGGGGCGCAGGTAGCTGATATTTCGAGAGCTGCATTATCGGCCACCACTTGCTGATGGCAAATTACCTTGCATGGCCCCGAGGGGAGGGCCGCCTCCTCTTCCTCCTCGTCGCCATCGTGTTCATGTTCCTCTTTCACTCCCTCCCAGTATCCCTTCTCCCCCCGCCCTTCCACCCCCTACCCTCTCGCCCCTTGCCGCCCAGCCTCATCTGGAGAGATTGCAAGGGGGCGCGGCATGGAGGGGAGGTGCGAGTATTTCAAGTGCTGCGTTATCGGCCAGGTGTTACCGCTCGTATCCGACGAGCTCGTATCGGGCGGTCCCGAGGGAGGGCGCCGCGACGACGGGGCGACGACGGCGTCCTCTGCCTCAACTATCTTTCCCCTCCGTCTCGTCTTACTAATCATCCTTTCCCTCGCTCTCCACTGGCCGCGTTCCTCTTCCTCCTCCCCTCTCACCTTCCTTCCTCCTCGCCTCTCCTTTTCCTCCCATCTTTCAGCAGCTTGCGAAATGGGCTCCGCATGGAGGGGAGGTCTTCATCGCCTGAGCTGGGGTGCACCAGCGCCGCGCTGCGAGCGCGGCGGGCGACCACGATGACGACGGCGACGATGACGATGACGACGACGACGATGGCGACCGCGGTGGCAACGATGACGACGACGATGACGACGACGATGGCGACAACGACGACGACGACGACGACGACGACGACGGCGACGACGACGATGGCGGACGCGGTCACGACGACGACGATGACCCCGTCGGCGGGCGGGCCGAGAGCGCGCCGGACTGCGTGCGCCGCGCGCGCCACCGTGGCACCGAGCCTCCGTGGTAGACTACGGGGGAGCAGTAAAGCGGAGAAACGATAGTAGGCACCAGGGCTGGCTCTCGTGAGCCCCTCGCTCACTCGCTCGCTCGCGCGCTCGCTCGCTCGCTCGCTCGGGGACCGTTTTAGGTCAAGCCGTTTCCAGCAATGAGTGCCGAGCCCCCCCCAGAGCCCCAACCTGGGGCAGACATGCGCATTTGGTGCGACGTCTCCGATGGCTGGTGCATCGTGTGGAGGGCCCTCGACGGCAGTATCAAGCAGCGTGGAATGTGGGAGATGGACCCTCATAGGAGAGGAAACGAAGAGGCACGGAGCGGATAGAAGGGCGAAGGGCAGGGGGAGATAAGAGAGTGGCGGAGGGAGGGAGGGAGGGAGATAGGGAGGGAGGGAGAGAGAGAGAGAGAGAGAGAGAGAGAGGAGAGAGGAGGTAGAGAGAGAGAGAGGAGAGAGAGAGAGAGAGGAGAGAGAGAGAGCGAGAGAGAAGAAAGAGAGAGAGAAGAGAAGAGAGAGAGAGAGGAGAGGAGAGAGAGAGAGAGAGAGAAGAGAGAGAAAAGAGAGAGAGATGAGAGAGAGAGAGAAGAGAGAGAGAGAGAGAGAGAGAGAGAGAGAGAGAGAGAGAGTAGAGAGAAGAAGGAGAGAGAGAGAGAGAAGATAGAGAGAGAGAGAGAAGAGGAGGAGAAGAAGGAGAGAGAGAGAGAGAGAGAGAGAGGAGAGAGAGAGAAGAGAGAGAGAGAGAGAGAGAGAGGAGAGAGGAGAGCAGAGAGGAGAAGAGAGAAGAGAGTAGATTAGAGATCAGAAGAGAGAGAGAGAGAGAGAGAGAGAGAAGAGGAGAGAGATAGAGGAGAGAGAGAGAGAGGGCAGAGAGAGGGAGGAGAGGGGGAGAGAGAAGAGAGAGGAAGATAGAAGAGAGAAGAGAGGAGAAGAGGGGAAGGTGGGGTGGAGAGGAGGAGAGAGAGAGAGAGAGAGAGAGAGAGAGAGAGGGCGACGCCAGAGGAGCAGCTGCTACTTTTTCGCACATGGCCTGGGCTAGCCCGGTTTCATTCGTACGGAGCATTGGACCCAAGAAAGTCGTGCGAGACACGATCAGGGCTTTTCATAGAGATGTGGCATCGCGGTGCAGGCCAGATATCGAGGATCCCATGGGTGAGGGAACGGGGGATAGGAGGGAGGGGGGGAGAAGAAGGGCGGGGGGGCGAAAAAAACCTGAAGAGCATTTCCCAGGATGAGATCATTTGGGCCATCAAGGCAATGGAGGATGAGGTCAACGACGCACAAATGGAATACGAAAGGGCCATGCAGGAGGATGAGGTCACCGACGCCGCGATGCAACGCGATTGAGGTTGGCAGCGGGCTTGCGCACGGGATGGGGCGATGGGGCGTGGCCTTCCGAGGGGGCGGGGTACCTTTCAGGAAGAATCGGAAGCCCTGGCGACGACGACGACGACGACGACGACGACGACGACGACGACGACGACGACGACGACGACGACGACGACGACGACGACGACGACCGAAGGCTGGCCCCATCGCACCGCCGACCACGAACCAGACTCAGCGGCGGCGACGCCTGCTAGAAAGGCTGAAAATATGACCTCCGAGCGACGGGGGGAGAAGAGATATAGAGAGAGAGAAGGGTGAGGAGGAGGAGGAGGAGGAGGGGGATGAGGATGAGGAGGAGGAGGAGGGGGAGGGAGAAGAGGAGATGGAGGAGGAGGGCATCTGCTTTCCTTCCTCCTCCTCCTCTCTCCACCCTCCTCTTTTTTCCTCCTCCTCCTCCTCCTCCTCCTCAGGAGGGGAGGAGGAGGCCCTTGAAAGGCTGAAAAATTAACCTCCGAGCAACGGGGGGAGAAGAAAGGCGAAGAACCGAGGAGGAGGTGGAGGCAGGAGGGGACCGCCTCTTCTGCTCTCCCCCCTCCTCCTCCTTCCTCCTCCCTCCTCCTCCTCCTCACCGTCCTCCCCCCTCCTCCCTCTCCTCCTCCTCGGCTCCTCCTCCCTCCACCTCCCCTCCTCCTCCTCCTCTCTCCTCCTCCTCCTCCTCCTCCTCCTCCTCCTCCCCTCCTCCTCTTCTCCGACTCCCTTTCCTTGCCGTTTTAGTTCGAGCGCCATGGCCGCCGCGGGTGGCCAGCTGTGGCTCCTCCACCTCCCCCGTATCCTTCGGGGGCTGCGTGGGGATCCGCCTGCCCTCGGCTGGCTGGACGATCGGCCCCGACCGTGGCCCGTGGCCGCATCGTGCCCTCGCCCTCCAGGGCTCCTCCCCCAGAGGGAGTCCCCCCCACCCCACCCCCGTGGGCTCCCTCGGGGGTGGTCCTCCCGAAGCGGAAGAATTGCCCAGAGTTCTTCCACTTCCCGCCCTCGGCCGCCTATGGGCTGCCGCGGCACTGGTGGGCGCCGACATGGCGCGGCGGGGGGCGCCGCCGCTGGCGGCCCACCTCGGTCATCCGCAACTATGGGATAGGGCACCCAATCCATGCGGTCGCCCAACTCGGGTCGTGCCCCGCTGGCGGGGGCACGACGCCTGCGGGGGGGGTCTCGTGCACCCCGCGACCCCGTCGGCGACCCGCTGGTGGACGCTTGAGGAGACCATGGATAAAAAAAAACCCGCCCTCTCCCCCCTCCCTCCTTCCCCTCCTCCTTCCCCTCCCCCTCCCCCTACCCCTCCCCTCCCCCTCTCCCCCCTCCTCCTCCTCCTCCTCCTCCTCCTCCTCCTCCCCCTCCTCCTCCTCCTCCTCCTCCTCCTCCTCTCTCTCCTCCTCCTCACTCCTCCTCCTCCTCCTCCTCTCCTCCTCCTCCTCCTCCTCCTCCTCCTCTCCTCCTCCTCCTCCTCCTCCTCCTCCTTCCTCCTCCTCCTCCTCCTCCTCCTCCTCCTCCTCCCTCCTCCTCCTCCTCCTCCTCCTCCTCCTCCTCCTCTCTCCGTTGCCATTTTGGCTCGAGCGCTCGGTGCTGGATAGGCTCAAGGGGGGGGGGTCAAGTGCTGGATAGGGCTCAAGGGGGGAGGGGTCCTCACCCTGCAGCACACCTGCGGGTCGGGGCGCCCCTGAAGGCGACCCCCACATACACCTATTCCTAAGATTGCTAAGCACATTTTAACATAACATATCATGCCATTACATAACATATCATACCATAGCATATCATAACATATATAGCATAACATAACATAACATAACACAACATAACATAACATAACATAGCACAACATAAACGGCGGAACTGCGGAACCAACTTGTTCAACAAGAAAAAAAACAGAGGAATTGAGGAATCCATGTGTATGAATGCCCAACATGAATTCCGCAACGGCGCTGAGGAATGGAAGCTCTGGGTGCCTACGGCAACAGCCGGCTGCCATCCAAGTTCGTCGCGGGCGTCGCTTCGCCGCTCGCGATCGACTCGCGGATGCGCGACTTTGAGTTGAGATTCGCGGGCGGGTTCTGCATGGGACATTCTAGTCGGTCTGGAACGGCGCCGTCGATCACGAAGGACGTCATTCAGCGAGCTACTGGGCTCGCTCGCAGAGATCCTGTGGAGAGACGGGAGCGGGGACCAGATGTTCCCGGAGTTCAGTGAGGGCCTCGGACGCTGCAGCGAGGACGCGGCGAGGAAGCTGCGGCAGCAGTACCTGCCCCAGCTGGAGTTGCTCAGCCAGCGGCGATAACTCACGGGGCTCAAGCACCGCCTGCGTCACCGCCACAGTCTCGGGCCCCACTCGGGAAAGGCTTTCGGGCGGCGCAGGCGACCCTGGCCATGGTCGGCCACGCTGCCAGATGCCAGCGCCGCGAGGAGCTACGCGCACGCGGGCGACGTGGAGCTGCAGGACTCAGTCATGCCCCTGCCCGCAGGGCTCGCGCGCCGGATGATCCATCGAGCGTCGGCGACGAGAGGGCCAAGCGGGCCCGAGACGCGTGGCCAGCAGCTGCCGCCGCTGCGCCATCCTCTGACGGACCTGCTGGACCTGCCGGTGCCGCCGCGGGGCCAGGGGGGGGAGCGGCGGTCGCCCCCCCGGCCGCCGCCGCCATGGAGAGCGGCCGTTCTCGGGCGGCTATTCGGACAGCCGGCGCCGCCTTTCGCCGGGCCCCTCTGCAGGAGCTCGCGACGGGGGGCCGCCAGCGACGTTCCCGGCGACGACGGCCACGCCAAGCCCCCCGCCCAGAGTTCGACCTCGCGATGATCCAGGAGCAGGAAGAGCTCGAAGCAGCGGTGCAACGATTCGAGCAGCTTTGGAGGATGTTCAGACGAGCGCGGATCCGGCTCTGCCGGCGGCCCCGGCGGCCGGCTCGGCACGCGCAAGTGATTCCCCCATGAAAATCGGCGGAGTGGAGGTCGAGGACGACGCGCCCGTGGTCAGCTCCCGTTTCTGGAGCTCGGTGATTTATCCCATCCAGGATGTTTCACCCAATTGGCGCCGTTTCCCAGGCCGCTACTTGGGGGGGCGGCCGACGTCGAGTTCGCGAACGAGGGCGGCGAGCCGCGCGGCATGAGCATCGAGAACAACCGGCCCAGATCTTCACATTGCGCGCCCTGCTCCTCCACGCGCGAAGTTCACGCGGCAGCGGGGCGGGGGCCAGCGCTAGGGCGAGGGGCGCCAGAGGCAGGTCCGGGTCGACACCGAGCTGCTGCGTTCCGGCATCCCGCAGCGCCGAAAGAGGCGCGAGTGGAAGCGCCGGTTGGGCGGCAGGTTCCTGGATCGAACCAGATGTGAGAGTCTAAGTTGCACGCGGAGATATGCGCCCTTGGGACTCGAAGGCCGAGCACGGAAAAGGCGAGCTAGAGCACGTCATGACAGGGACGGGTCGGATGGAAACCCTAAGTCGCAGGTACAACGGCAAGCGCAAGCACGCGCAATTCATGGGCAAGAGAAGTCGCAAGTCCAGGGCGCTGGGTTGCATGCGATGAAGCTCAAGACGGCAAACCTTAGGGCTCTCAAGGAGGAGCTTGAGCGGGCAGGCGAGATCAACAGCGCGACCCAGGCAGGCCCCGTCCCGAACGAAGAGATGAGTCCTGGATGCCCGATGCGTCGCCGGACGGCGCGGCGAAGAACGGGTTCTGGGACGACGGCAACAGAGATCGGCTAAATCTTTAATTGGTGCCTGAAGCGCGACAGGCGGAGATGGATTGGATGGCCCGGCAGTCGGTCCACACCGTCTGCGACGAGTCGGAGCGCTGAAAGGCGACGGGGATGGGGCCGATCACCAAGCAGTGGCGAAGCGCCCCGGCTCGCCTATAGCCCCATCAAACAATGTTATGTGAGTTGCCCGCGGTTCCCACGACATGTTCTTAGAACATGTATGGTGGGGCTGTCTTGTTTTTTCACATCGGGTTTATGTTCTAAGAACATGGTTTTGATGTTAGAACATGTTTGGGTTCTAAGAACAGTTCGTGGCATAACTATAGGAATGCCAGGACGGTCGGCCCCTGTTCAAGATCAACACTGGCTGGGTCGACGCGAACAAAGGGGGCCGCGAACGAGTTCGACACAGGTCGAGGCCAGTGGCGAAAGATGTGACGACGGCCAAGCGGCCCTGTGAGCAGCTTCGCGCTTAGTAGCGCGCGCCAATTCGAGGCGATCCGAAGTCTGGTCAGCCACTTGGCTTCAATGAAGCATTCGAGCAGAGGGTCACAGTTGAAACTTGGCTTCTGTTTCACGGGCCCACTTGGGCGGAGAGGCCCAGAGAGATGTTGCCGCGCGCCTACCCTCGGAGGAGGGTGAGTCTGTAAGTGCTCGCGTTTAAACCGTTCGCCGCACGGGGCACAGGATGCGCCTCGCATCTGGCAGAGAGACTACATGGCACACTTGGCCGGCGAAGGTCGGCCACGAGGCGCGGCCTCGGCCGCGCTCGGGGCGGCCCGCGGCGATGATGTCATGATGCTGGGGGGGCGAAAGTACCGGTAAACGAGGCGCGTCGTTGTCTGGGCCCCGCGCGCGACACGAAATGCGCGGGGGCCCTGGGGCCAGATCCCGACGATCAATGGGAGATCGTCTCTTTGAGTCGAGTTTCCCGTTTCGCGACTTCCCCCCGGCCGTTAAAATCGGGAGCGACCAGCGCCGCGTGGACATCATCATTCGCGATCTTGGTCGAGACCGCCCACGAGCGAAATGGTTAGAGACCCTGGTTTTTAAGCAATCGCTTCACGATGCTAAGGGTCGGAACTGGCCACCTACGCATAGGTCTTTGGCGATGCGCGCCGCGCACTTGAGTCTTGACCGGCTCGATGCGGCTGGGGCGACCAAGACCTGGCGCAGGTTTATGAAATCTCCGAATGCCGCCAACCAGGCCGACACAAAGCTTCTGGGAAGGTATATTGCGTCTCACCGTTGTCCCGCCAGTCGCTCTGAGTCTCAACGCTTGCCGACCGAAGTGGTTGCGGCCGTAGATGGCGACCATGCAGTTTGCCCGTTGACTCGCAAGCCCGAATCAGGCGTCGCGTGCAAGCTCGATCGCCGCGCGCCGAAGTCCGGGAGCTCCCATCCACAGCGCAATCAGTTCGAGCAGCGGGTCGAGTAAGTTTCATGCAATTGAAGGGGGCTGCGTCTGGTCTTCTTGTTAAGGCTATCGCTCAGAATCTTGGCATTTCTCTCGGGGTCAGCGTGCAATGCCAAAATGATGTCCCGATTCGTTTGGCCTCGGTTCGGACTCGAGCGCTGCTCGCGCGCTTGCTCCGCGCGAGTGTTTCGGGAAGCAGGAGCACATGCGGAGTCGGTTCCTCTAGGTCCAGGATGCAGTTTCAAGCGTCGGACCCAGGTATTTGACGCAGCCACGCACCAGAATCAAAGTGACATGCTGAAAGAGTGCGTGCCGGCACGCGTTCCGCGCAAGCATTTGACAAGCACGATGCAGTCCATGAAGCCTGGAGCAAGCCACGCAGAAAGCTAGCCTGAATAGCCGGTGTTCAGTCTGCGCTTTAGGAGGGGTGCAGATGTGTAGCATGAAATGTTTTCGCTGTAGAAGCACGTTGCAGCATATTGAAGGAATGGCGATTGCAGTGAGACGTCTAGCTCCAGGCGCCGCTTGCGACGGAAAGGACGCGCCACCGTCCTCACACATTCTTTCTGCATCGGTGGAGCGGGCGCTGCCGATTTCAGTTGGCCGACGCGCCGCCGCCGCCGCCTCCGCCCCCGCCCCCGCCCGCGCCGCCGCCGCCGCCGGCCCTGAAGACCTCTGGCGCAGCTTTCTCCGAAACCGATAGGCGCAACTTGTCAACACGTTCGCACCGCCGCTGCGACATGGCCCGAGTCAGATTTAGGCGCTGAGCGACGAAGGGGGAGTTGCACGTATAATTTTCCATTTGGCCTTCGATGCGGCGGCGGACGCGCCCCCGGCGCTCCGACCGCATCTCGCCGTCCGCTTGGGATACGATCGCCCAGTGTTCCGGAAACGCCGCAGTCAGCTGGCTTGCGCCTTGGGCCGGGGAGAGACGCCTTGAGGGCGGGCATGGCCGCGCGGAAGACCCGCCAGCACGCCCGCCGCGTTTAGATGGACGATGGGCTCTCCAGGTGACAGGCAACGAGTTCGCCCCTCACGAACACCTGGGCAGATATAATCTAAAAATGGTTCCCGCGCGGCGAAGTCCGTGCATGGGGCCGCATATGTTCCCTGCTTCGCCGCCGAGGCCGACAGCTGCTCCCGCTTGACTTCCTCGCTCCCACGAGGGGGTCCGCCGCGCGCCTTTTTGAAATCCGCGAACATTGCGCGCGGCCTCGGTTCCGAGAGCAACTCGACCTCTCCGTCGCCCACCTGGTCGACCAGCGCGGACAGCTTCCGCTTCCCGGCGTTCCCGCCGGCAGCGCTTTGGGGTGCTCGAGGAGGCGGAGCCTTGCTCGTCGGCGGCGGCCGGCCTCAAAGGCGCCGAAGTCGGGGGGGGGCCGAAGCCGGCGACCGTGGCCACGTGGCGAAAGAAGCGGATGAGGAAGCAGCACCACGTGGTCGATGTGCCCTACCGATCGTGGCCTTGGTGTCTTCCGTTGGGACACACAGCAACTCATCGACGGTCATCGCTTCCAGTGTGCCACTCAGTGGCTCGACAAATAAGGTGAGCACCGCCATGTCCATACCCCACGCGGTGGCAACGGTGGCAAGGCGGAGTGGAACATCGATCCTCCCGCGCACGGGCCTGGCATGGGGTGAAGCACACGATGCTGTCAGTTCCTAGGAGGCCCCCGTCGCCAGCTCCAGGGAGGACCCCGACATCCGCTGGCTGATTGCCGAACCACGACATGCCCTCCAAAATGGAGGAAGTAGAGCCTGCAGACAGAAGAATTCCTTGTTGCTTGAGCCTGAACGATTCCATATTGCTGGTTGCTCGAGCTAAAATGGCCACGAGCACAATGACAAGCGTTAGTGCAGATGATGACTGCTGCTCATCTAGTCCCTGACACACCGTAGGAAAAGGATGATTCGAATCACAGGGTGGTAGCGCACGGGAACTGGAAGCAGCCTTCTTCGATTGTCACGGCCTGCGTCCAGTTCGTTTGCAGCTCCATTCGGAGTTGCCACTTCAGGGCCCGTGCCAAGGGGCATGTTGGAAACCAGCGTAGACTTGCCACCACAGGTCCGTCTCGGACACTGCAACATTGACTACCTACCAAACCACCCCAACCCAACCCGAAGACCCGAATTTCGGGTTGGGGGGGTCAGGGTTCCACATGTGTTTTTTCGATGTTTCCCGACCCCCCCCACTGGAAATCGAGGGTAAATCTGAGCCTTCGGGTTGGGTTGGGGTGGTTTGGTGGGTGGTGAAACATGGCTCGCATCTGGGAGGGTTGGGCTCGCCGGGTCGTTGGCCGAAGTGCCCGTCGGCGGAGTCCCCGCCACGGGAGCGGGGAGCCGCTCGGGCGTTGAGCCACTCGCGCGGCGTCGGAGGCCAGGGCCCGCGCGGGACACGGCGGTGAGCCCGCCGCAGGGTCTCGGGGAGGAGGGGCGCGGATAGGCAGTGATAAGCACACGGTGAAGCAGCGAGGCCAGCAATGTGAAGCAGCGAGACCGAGGTTATATTAACTAGTATTACTTTATATAACCTCGGTTACGGTTACACTGGTTACGTGTACCTCAGCCAGGTCTCCTGTGCGACTACAGGCGTCAGCACCCGCTTTTCAAACTTGTTCAGTGCGTCCCGTGTAATTGTCGTTGGAAGCCGGAGGCCCGGATAGGCAATGATAAGCACACGGAGACGTATGCGAGACCTGTTGGAGGCCGGAGGCCTGACGGAGCCTTCGTGGGAGTTGTCTTGGAGATCTTTGGGGAGCTTTCGGAGTTTCCATGTTCTTGGGGCATTGTTGGTGGCCCTCTGGGGGCCATCCTGGAAGCCATCGGTCAACAAGAATGTCAGAACCACACACACACACCAGGCAGGTAGAATGAGATTCACCACCACCACCACCAACGCCGCTTGTGGGTGTGGTGCAGGATCTACTGAATTGTGGGATAAGATTCGAATGATGCCCCGCGATAGCGCCCAGAAAGGAATGACCCACTACCGCCCCTGACCCCTTGTCTGCTTTCCCTCCAGTTCCCCAGATGGAAGACCAAAGCTTCAATCCTCCTCCCTCCTTCTCATCCTCCTTTCGCACTTCTCCTACAGCCCTGGCAGGCTGGGGGAGCCCAGCCCAAGCGCGACTCACAGCACAAGCACCACACCTCTCGCGCCACACTCTCGCAACATCTTCCGCGCATCGCCCTGCAGCGCCACCCTCTCCCACGCTGCATATTCTCTCGCGCGCGGGCCAGCTTGTCGCTGCGTCGCCTCGGGGCCCCAGCGGCACCGGCCCTGGGCCCAGGATGGGCCTGACCAGGGTCCGTGCATGTATGTTCCGAGTTTCTTCACAGGCGTGGGGGCTCCCCGACGGGGGTCAGCCCGATTTGGGGCCGTCGGCGGGGGAAGCGACCCCGCTCTTGCTTACAGTCAAAACCCATGGTAAGGATGGAGTGCCTTTGTAACCGTTGCTCATTGCCTCTTCGATATGTCCTCAGCCCATGGTATCTGCCATCCAAGGCCCACTTTGACGTCCGAGTGTCTTGCACCCTTGCCTTGCATCCTCATTCTACGATTTGA